AGAACATTTAAAAAAAAAAAAAGAGAGAACAAACTAAGAGCATTGATTACAAGAAAACAGCACATCATTATACCTTCCAGTAATCCTCAACGGTAGCTCGGATGAACTCGTTGTTCTCGTACGCTAATTTTGATGCCATAGCACACAGAGCCGCGTAGTATTTGTTACTACCTGGGTTAATATTCTTGTCCAAATCTACCCTGTTGTCTAGATGTCCAACAGTTGATAAAAAACTGGATGATTCTTTACTAGGCAGCACCACATTCCCTGCAACACATGTAAAGGAATAACCGTAAAATACAGCGCTAAAATTGAAGAAAAACAATTTTCATATCGTTGTCAATAATATAAAAACTATGTATATCAAGAAACAAGATGTGTTTCTGCAAAGAATTTAACAAAATTATGCACATTCCACCAGTTCAAGAAAAGAATCTAAAAGCATACCTCTCAATAAGTTCTTCATGAACAAACCAAAGTTGCTCTTATTTCCTAGAATGTTAAGGCACATTTCAAATCTTGAACCGAACAACGACAAGGGCTTTGCATTGTACCGGAGAACCTTGGAGACCAACTTATAATATTGAAGCATCCTTGTCAGGGGTCGTGGTTTGTGTAAAGAGATCAGAACAATAATTGTCGTTACTCGTCTATTTTTTTTTTTTCTTATAATTATCGACTACACTCGACTATATATATACACATAGATGGAAAAGGAGAATTTTCATTTGCTTTTTTACCCGAACAAGAAAGAGAGCACGACTGTCATGAGATTGGAATATTGTGTAAGCTTAAAATTGACAACAAAGTGTGGAAAGACAAAGGGTGGCCAACTAGCCATGAAATGAGATTGGAATATTTTTTTTCGCTTTCATTGCAAGCCAGAAGGGATTCCAGGCCTGACAACTATAGAACACATTTCGTATGCCCGAAAATCCCACCTGAAGAGTAATTGGATAAACAAGAACTCACATAACATACACTAAGTAGGCCGGTGCAAAAAACATTAGTTCGTCTTCAAGATTTTCCGATTTTCCCGCCCAATTGCGGAAAGAAATACATCAGGCTTTCCCAATCTAGTCGAGTTCACGTAATCTTGTGGGCAATGAGCCGGAATTCCAGCAACTAGAAGACCAGCAAACCTTAAAATCCTAAGCAAACCTCCTTCCCGATAATCTTTTCCTCTCGTGTAGCCGATTACAAAGCTCCTCATTAGCTCCCAGCAAGCATTCGCAATTTTCGGTAAAAGCCATATAAGAGAAAAATAGTTCTTGTTAGGCTCCTCAGCTACAACCTGCAAACAATATTCACCAACACATGACATTAATTAATTAATACAAAGTTATTAATCTTTTAAGAATTCCCCATGCATGCACTTAATTAATTACTTACTTTTCCCTCATAGAAGCTGTTATAGTAAATGCAGGTCCCAAAATGCTTGAACATGAGGGTTGAATCATCGTACGGAAGCCTCGGCACAACATCGTACGAGTAAACAAATCGATAATAACTAATATTATGTTTTTCCATCAAACTCTCCATATACTGTTTGAACTTCTCGTCCCCAACCCTAGGCTGCCCGAACGTGTAGACGGCTTCCAGCCTGTCCAGCAGCGACGACTCGCCGTGCAAGCCAAGCACCGCCGGGAAAAGAACGGCCAGGGCGCCGCCGAGGCTGTGGCCGGTCAGGATGAATTTGGAATTGCTGTTTTGTTCGAGTTTTTCGTGGAGGAGCTTCCGGATGGCGTAGTAGGCGGTGGGGGGCTTGTGGTGGTCCTGTTCGCGGGGCCAGCCCTGGCTCTTCTGGAGGCCGAGGGATTTGAGGAAGCCGCCGTGGATTTTGCCGGCGGTGGGGAGGTCGTACCAGGAGATGTCGGCGTCTGTGGACCACGCGTCGGAGTCGAAGGTTTCGGTTCCGCGGAAGGAGGCAATGACGACGTCGTTGTTGTCCTGGAGAGCGAATGCCTGTGTCGTGGCTTTCTCCTGGTAATCTGTCGAGTGTCAACAAATAAATAACTAAATAAGGAAATTTATTTAGTGTTGCTCTTTAAAAAATAAAAAAAAAAATAAAAATAAAAAATTCTTTTCATAGTATAGGAAATAACGGGAAATGTTGTAATCCCTTTACAGAATCATTCCGAAATGTTGTAATCCCTCCACAGAATCATTCCGTCGAGATTTGTAACCGTTGAATCATCATGTAGCCGTTGGACATAGTTAATCTAACGGTCACAAGTTCCGACGGAATGGTTATGTAACGAGACCGTAACATCTCCCAAAAATAAGATCCTCACCGTTCCAGAAATCGAAGGATCCCAAGTATTCCATCTGCGTAGAAAAATTAAACCACATAAATTAAATATTAAAAAAAGTGGGGTTCAATTTAGTATATATAGTCCAATTTCTGTAATTAATTTGCATATTAATTTAACTTAAAAAAAATGGTCCATATATATCACATTATAATTACCTCCCATTGATCGTTGACTATAGACTGAATGTATTGGTGGTTCTCGTAAGAGGCCTTGGCAGCCATTACAGAAAGCGCTGCATAGTATCTGCAGTCCACGTGGCTTATGGTGGGGTCCAGCTCACGTCTTTTATCAATGCAGCCAATGAACGACAAGAAATTCGCCGATGTTCTGTCCGGACGCACCACCTTCCCTGCATATGCACTCCATAAGCTTAATTAATTAAATTTGATTTATTCTTAATGATGAGTATTTTGTGTTAGCAGTGTGCGTGCGTGTGTGTGAACCTGATGCGGAATTAAATTTGGGGAAATGCTACAGTAATAGATTCGTAATCGTTAGATCATCATGTAACTGTCATGTATAATTGATATATAACAGCTACAAACCCCAACGGAATGATTCCGTAAATATGTCTCTTCAATTTCACGAGTTCTAATTAATTTCAGCTGGTATCATGACGTGTAAAATCAAGTTCAGCCTGTTTTTATTGGACACCATTTTGTACTTGCATTCATTAGGTCTCCACCAAATATAGGATTTGAAAAA